TACTTTTGAAATATTTAGCTTTATTTTGAAAATCTTGCCTCATTCAAATGAATGGTAAAATTCTACTTAATTTCAGCTATTAAAATGTTCAGCTCTTCAAGGACATTCATGCATCTCTTCATAATTTTTCTAGAATTCATAATTTTGAAATATTTAGCTTTATTTTGAAAATCTTGCTCCATTCAAATGAATGGAAAATTCTACTTCAGCATAATTTCAGCTATTAAAATGACCCGCTCCTTAAGGACATTCATGCTTCTCTTCAGATGTTTTCTGAACTTCGTACTTTTGAAATATTTAGCTTTATTTTGAAAATCTTGCTCCAGTCAAATGAATGGGAAAAATCTAATTCAGCATACTTTCAGCTATTAAAATGTTCTGCTCTTCAAGGACATTCATGCTTCTCTTCATATGTTTTCTGAACTTCGTACTTTTGAAGTATTTAGCTTTATTTTGAAAATCTTGCCCCATTAAAATGAATGGGAAAATTCTAATTCAGCATAATTTCAGCTATTAAAATGTTCCACTCCTTAAGGACATTCATGTTTCCCTTCCAATGTTTTCTGAACTTTGTACTTTTGAAATATTTAGCTTTATTTAGAAAATCTTGCTCCATTCAAATGAATGGGAAAATTCTACTTCAGCTTACTTTCAGCTAGCAAAACCATTCAGGTGTCAAAATGTTCAGCATTTTCAGGGCGATCTTTCAGCACTCAGCATCCATGTGCATTTTCTTAAGAAAATGCAATTCTCTAGTGTAAATGATGTAATTTTTTTAACCTTTTTCCTCACACACACATATACGTATCTATTTGTTTTTACAGTGACATTGGTCAGTAAACTACTTTCATACAGAATGAAGACTGTAAGATGCGTACAGGTGAATGAAGTTAACTATATAAAAAGCTGAACGCTCTCACATGGTACTGTTTGTTTTTTGTTAGTGAGACAATGATCCTCATTAAATCCAGTTAGATTAACTGCACATCCATTAAGGGTCAGACACTAGAATGTGTACAAATATACAATTATTTGGGAACAATAAACACAAAAATGAAATGTGAGGCAAACTGTGAGGTCTGTGTACAAAGAGAGGCACCAGAGATTGTCCTGACTTCATATTGACAAAACTATGATGATTTTAATGTATTGTGGTTTTATATAATTGATTTGTCTTTTTCTTCAATGGGCAAGCGTCACTGCTGAAGAGGTGAAAACGATATACATTGCCCAAGAAGCTACATTAAAAGATCATCTGTCTTCCCCAAGTGAAGCAGTGAGCATCACTGCTGAAGGGGAGGAAAGGACAGACAGCGGCCAAGAAGCTACATTAAAAGATCATCTGTCTTCCCCAAGTGAAGCGGTGAGCGTCAACGCTGAGCAGGTGAAAAGGACAAACATGGGCCTACGTAGTTATGCAAGCTTCGCTGCTGGAGACAAGGAAAGGGGACAAGGTTGTCTGTCTCCCCTACAGGCAAGTATCAGCGCTGAGCAGATGAAAAGGGTGAGAGAACGTTACGTGGAGGCAGCTGTGTCCTCTGTGTATTCCAGGCTTATCGTGAAATGCAAATTATTAGTTAATCCACCACATAACTCCATGAAGCGAGTGCGTGATAGAACCTGTGATCTCTTGAAGTCTGAAGATTTAGACTGTAATTTAAAATTATTGAAGGACCTGGACAAAAAGGTGTACAAAGACCTGTGCAAACATTTTGGCAGTGCAGATAGGGTGCAGTTTCAACTGTATTCGGATACAACAGTAAGTGAAGATTACATCGCCTTGACTATAAAAAATCACTTACTTAACCCTAACCCACCAAAGAAACACAGCGCCATTCGCAGGTTCTTTACTAATGCGTGGAAATGTATCCGATGTCGCTAAAGTAGTCAAAAGGAAATCATTGAGTGGTGGGACTCTTTGCACTTCCGGGACTTTTGCCACATAAGTGTACAGTATGACAAGAGATAACGCATTCCTTATGACATCCATGGTAATAACAAGCTTCTCAGCATTACTATTGAGAGCTCACAGCTACAGTAAAAGACAAAGACACCGTGAGTTTGCAATCTGCCTACTATGGTGTTGTGGATTTCCTCCAAGGTGCTCCGGTTTCCTCCCACATTAAATTAGGAAACAATTCGTCAATCTAAATTAACTGATTGATCTGATCTATTAAAAGCTGATTAGATAAAACATGTTGAGAGTGTGATTAATGTATGCTAAAATAATTACTTTCATAAAGAATAACATAATGAAATTAAATTTCTTGGTGTCATAACAGATTATAACATAATTTGGAAACTTCACATAAAGCATGTATAAGAGCCGTCCCTGGTAGGCTAGTGGTTAAGGCGCAGCACTCTCGCCGCTGCGGCCCGGGTTCGAATCAGGGTTGCGTCAGGAAGCAATAGGCCCTACTGCTATTTTTTTGGCTCACACAGGGATCACTCATTATTATAGCGTTTGTTATAGACAGACCCAGTATTATTAGCCATGTACCTAAGAAACAGCGATAAACAACACTGATCATGTCGCGCTCACAATGTAAACACAGACTGTAATGATAGCACACCGTATTTATAATGTCGGTTATTTCAATGAGCGACCTTCTGTCACAAAGTACAATACAGTGACAACGTTAGCGCGTCTAACCTTCGTCAAATATACTATTTTAATACATAATGAAAACACAGAATAAAAGAACAGTGTAGCCTACCTTAAAGACCTGGCTCGATGCTCACTTGTCACAAAAGCTAAGTAAAGGAACAGGTCTGTAATTTTTACATGCTACAATGCACAAACCAACATTCAAAATTTTGCGCCCAGTGGCTATGGGCGCGCCCATTCACAGAGTGGGCGCAGCAAATAGCTATAGCTGCATTTGGAGCTCGGGCCCCCCTCCTGGTTTGACAGGCAATCAGCAGAATTCATTAAGACAAACGGTCAGTTTGCTCGGGATCCTCCATCGTAGCATCATCTTCTCTTCCCATTGTCCTGGGTTTTTAGTGATTAGCACTATGTCATCCACCGAGTGTAGAGACCTGGGGCGGGTGATGTGCATAATCACCGGGGCTTCCAGAGGTTTTGGCCGGGCTTTAGTGAGGGAGATGCCTCGGCTGCTGAAACCCCGGTCAGTCCTCGTCCTGGTGGCTCGCTCCGGTGACGAGCTGCGGACTCTGCAAGCAGAGCTGTCCGAGTCGGAGACAAGCAAAGCGAGTCTGCTGGCTGAGCTTGTGGTGGCCGATCTGGCTCAGATGGAAGGACTGGAAAGCGTCGTCAGAAAGTCTAAAGAGGCTTTTTCCGAGGATATAGATCACATTATACTGATCAACAACGCAGGTACGACGTGAGCAAACAACTGAGATACTGTTCCAGGCTCAGTGAACCATCTGGTTTTCATTGCTCAGTGGCAGATCAGCTATATTTATTGGTTCCTTCTCTTTTTAAGGCTGTAGGACGTAGCCTACTGTATGTAATCTAACGAACTACATTTACTCAGCTACACTAACGTAGCAGCCTATTTAAATAATGGCATAAAGTGCTTGTGTACTTTACGTGCGTATTTCCATTTCATGTTTTACATCTCCTTCAATACACTTCAGGGGAAAGTATTTGTACCACACCTTTGACACAATATTTGGTAT